CTTTCATCTCTATTCGCAAAAGTGTATTCTCTAGAAGATGAATGTGGTGCAAAGGCAGGTTCTAGAGAAGACCAAAGTTGTACCTTGGTTGATTCAGACATCAACATGCGAACGTGTGCATCATTGGGGATCCAGGTTTAGTAGTTTGGGTTTGGGATCGGTTGCAGATGTGGCACCTGATGGTATTGGTAGTTCTCTAGGTGGGCACGGAAACGGAATTGTGCCGTCCACATAGTCAAACATCTTGTGCTCAAAGGTAGATATAGTTGGTTGTAGTGAGATTAAAAGGAAACCTGTGAGAGCTGTGAGTCTTCTTTTCATCGGCACTGAAAGCAACGATGAGAGCCATGATCGATAATTGTTTGTGAGAAGAAAACAGATGTTGGCCTTGGTTGTAGTTGTAGTGAACCCTAGTTGTTTTTCAGGTAGAGTAGGTAGCAAGAAACCATAAAGAGCCAAATTGTGTATTGTATTTGATTGTCTCATAATAGGGTTCCAGAGTATATTCTATAGTAATGATAATTGTGTCTAATAAAAGCTAACAAAAACTTGTTATTTGGTTACCGGGTTTCGACAAATCATATCAAGTGCATGAGTGAGAGACAATGGGCAATGGCTATAGGAAATCAACACATACATATTCTTGAATGTTTGAATTTGACCTTGTTGTCTTCAGTTAACTTTTTTTCTTTCTTTAAATTGAATGCAAGTCTTTGTTTTCTGTCTGAAACTTTATACTTCAGCTTCTTTCTAGACAATGCATAAGATCAAGTGGATCTAATTGTATTTCAAAGCTGAAGAGCATCAATGCATAAATCATATGAAGTTTGCAAACAAATATAGCAGTTTTCTTTATATATAACTGGATATCTTTCTAGTTTTAAAGCCTATCTATATTTTTTGAAAAGCTAGTTTTAATTTCAAATTAATCCAAATTCAGTGTGTGGAATAAGCGGGTCAGTGGCAAATTTTTTTTTTTTTTTTTTTTTTTTTTTAAAATTAATCTTGTAGTTTTGATGTAGAAAAGTTTCATTTGTGGTTTCAGGTATTTCACATGTCAGGAGTTAGCATTGATGCAGATCAGAGAATAACACAAGATTTGGAAAAGTTGAGCACAGATTTGTCAGGGCTGGTAACCGGAATGGTAAAGCCATCTGTTGATATTTTATGGTGAGTCTATGTTTTTTTTTTCAGGGATATTTTGCACAGGCAAGAGATTGAGAGCAATAAATAAGCGAAAGGCTTAATAATCTTGGTGCTTATTTTAAATTTTGATAATGGTTGATGTTGTTTGTAGGTTCACATGGAGAATGAAGATGTTAACAGGTCGGCGTGGTGTTGCTATACTATATGCATATATGTTGCTAGGGTTAGGCTTTCTAAGGAGTGTCACTCCTGATTTTGGTGACCTGGGAAATCGGGAACAAGAACTTGAAGGGAGCTTTAGGTCATCATCTTTTTGTTTTGTTAATTATTATTTCTCCTTCCTTGTCACTTGTCATTCCATTCATTATTGCACAAAATAACAGAGCTTTAAGTTTAAGGAGGATGTTTTGTTTACCTACGTAGGTTCATGCACGAGAGGCTGCGTACACATGCTGAATCTGTTGCTTTCTTTGGAGGTGGTGCTCGAGAAAAAGCGGTAACTCCTCTCCTCTTTCTTTATATTTCCTACCACAAAGGAGAATTTTGGAATATAATGATACTTGAATATGGTTTGGCTGGCAGATGATTGAGTCAAGATTCAATGAGCTTCTTGCTCATGCTAAAATACTTCTGAGGAAGAAATGGTTATTTGGAGTACTGGATGACTTTGTCACCAAACAACTACCCCACAATGTTACCTGGGGATTGAGCTTGTTATATGCTATGGAGCACAAAGCTGATCGTTCATTGACTTCCACTCAAGGTCAATTCGCAATTCCGATTCATCATGACATTTGTTTACCACAATAGGAAATAGTTTAGTAGTTGTGAATCGATTACCTAATGAAATTTAGGTTTTTTTTTTTTTTTTTTTTTTTTGGTTTGGATGTGAATGGATTTTTCTGTTAGCAGGCGAGCTTGCACATGCATTGCGGTTTTTGGCATCAGTTGTATCTCAAAGCTTCTTGGCCTTTGGTGACATCTTGGAGCTGCATAGAAAGTTCATTGAACTCTCTGGTGGTGTTAATCGGATTTTTGAACTTGAGGAACTTCTTGATGCTGCACAATCTGGTTAGTGTTTTATCTAATCTTTTAGGCTGATCAATAACCATTCCTTTTTTACTAATAATCTGATGGAAGTTGCAGATGAAACTGCTGGTACTTCATCAAAGTCCACTGAGGAATCTGAGGATGTTATCTCTTTCTCGGAGGTTGATATTATCACGCCAACACAGAAGTTATTAGCCAGAAAGTTGACTTGCGAGATAGTACCAGGGAAAAGCCTTCTTCTTACCGGTTAGTGTTAGTCAGATTATTATGATTATGATTATAAATACTTCTGAGGATTAAAAAAAAATAATAATAAAAATAATTTAAAATGAAGGTCCGAATGGGAGTGGTAAAAGTTCGGTGTTCAGGGCTCTGCGAGGTCTTTGGCCTATAGTGGATGGACGACTTGTCAAACCATGCCATGATGTTAATGACGTTGCTGAGGCTGAATCTGGTTGTGGCACTGGTATTTTATATATTCCTCAAAAGCCGTATACTTGTTTAGGAACATTACGTGATCAAATCATCTATCCTCTTTCACATGAGCAAGCTGAAAACAGGGCATTAAGTTTGTATCAACAAGGTCAATTTCAATTCTTTCCATTTTCATTTTCCCACTTTCATAGTCATACCGCCTATAATGTAAATGTTGTGATTTCATTTCAGGGCAAATAGACGTTGGTGTTGCTGATGCAAATATTCTGGATATGCATTTAAAAAGGATTCTAGAGAATGTGAAATTGTTGTACCTTTTTGAAAGAGAAGGGAGGTGGGATGCTAGTCAGAACTGGGAAGACATCTTGTCTCTTGGTGAACAACAGAGATTAGGCATGGTGAGCTTCCATCACATCACATCACATCACATCATTATCATATGTATTAATTACTACCACTATTGTATTCTAATTTGTTTTTGCTGTTGTTGTTTTCAAGGCTCGCTTATTCTTTCACAAGCCTCGGTTTGGCGTCCTAGATGAATGCACCAAGTAAAGCTAAAACATAAACATAAATCATATCCTCATGAATTTGAATTAATGCCATATCTTGTTTGTTTCAGTGCTACAAGTGTGGACGTTGAAGAGCACCTTTATCGGCTTGCACGTGACATGGGCATCACAGTTATTACATCTTCACAGGTACCTACCTACGCATCTTAATTCTTAACTTACTACTCTCATTTTTATTCACAAAAAAATTACCCTTTTAATCGCTTTTCTTGCTTCTCAGCGTCCTGCATTAATACCATTCCACTCCATGGAATTACGCTTGATTGATGGTGAAGGCAAGTGGGAGCTTCGCTCAATCAAACAATAAATAATTAATTAATTTCCTCCCTTCTTTTGCAAAAACTAAATCAAATAAAGGAAGCCAACAAATAGGGTGGGTATACAAGTAAGTATATGTTCATTATTTCATGTAACATAACATGACAAACATTAATATATATATATATATATATATATATATATATATATATATATATATATATAAGGAAATAAATTCCGACCTGTATCCATGTTAGATTTCATTTGTTTCTTTTCAGAAACTGATTTCCATTGGTTAGGGCTATTTAGACTAATTGTGCTTTCTTATATGATAATTCTCACACTACACAAGCCATGACTGGAATGGACAAATCTTCTTGCTTGAAAGAGAACTCTTTCAAATTTTGGATGGGATTAAAATAATAGTTTAATATATATATATATATATATATATATATATATATATATATATTATTTTTAATAGTATTAATCTTTTTAAAATTTTCAAAACTTCAACGGAATAGTGTTTTGTTATTTAAAAAAAATATTTTTTATTTGTAATTATATTTCAAGATTTCATTGCATTGTAGTTCTTTTTGTTTTATAAATTTTTTAGATAATAGATAATTCTTTTTAAACTATATATAAAGTATATCACATGTATTTTGAACCAATTTTATACTACTTAGGTTTATATTTATTGATAAAAAACATGCTTGAATGACTCATTTAGTTTTTTTTTGAGCCAACCAAACATGAATGGAATGTAATGACCCATTTGAATACCTTTCTCATTCTATTTCGTTGTCCATTCTATTCTTTAGACATTCAATTTCATCATACTAAACAAATCTTGTAAGGTTTAAATGGGATTTCAGGTTTATTTACCATGAATGGAATTGAAGAGTTGATTCTTATTTATATGTATATTTGAAAAGAAGAAATATATAGGGTCGTAATATGGAATTTTACTATGCTTGAGTATGTCGTAGCAAAATATATAATTAAAATTGGAAGTAGGTAGTTGATGTAAGGATAAACAAATTATATTTTCTAATGTGATACAGAAACTTAATTTATGGTCGAGCTTTGTTTCTGAATTTAATGGGATTTTACTTTTAATTAACAACAAATGTTCCTTTATGGTAGTCCAAATCCATTACTATCTGTCATTTAAATGCTAAAAATGGTTACAACTAGTTATTGTTCGAAATGAATTTTAACCTATATTTTAGCAATTAGCATCATCATTTGTGCAATATATATAAATGAGAGAGATGCATATTTATGGGGGTGTTTGTTTTAGTTTATTTTTGAAGCTGTTTCAGTTTATTTTTTTGGGTTTATGAAAATTGTGTTTGGGTTACCTTATTAGCTTAAGTTTACCAAATTTCATAAGTGAGGTGAAAACATTTTTTTTCTTCAAATAATTGGCTTATTTGTATATATCTATGTATTTACCCTCAACCCTAGATAATTCTTTTTTTTTCCCAACACTATATAATTCTCATTTTTAGTTAGTTGTACAATATAACATTTTAAAGCACCAATTGTTGTGTATGGAGAAAAATTGTTGTATACAAATCATCTCCCATATTAATAATGTACATCTCACAGTATCAAATCAGTTTTACAAAAAAAAAAAGTCTAGAATCCTTTAGAACCGGGTAGATGTTCCCAAGATAGTTGGATTTCAACTTCACCAGATTCTACATGCCGCAACCTAAAAGATAGGTCTTGGAGGACCTTGTTGTCTTTCCATATTATACAACTTTCTTCAGCCAAAGAGTTTGTCCTGGAAGGCTGTATTCTCTTGAGAAGAGTTCCATTTGGATGCCTCTCCAAACGAGGCATCTTCATTGCCTCCAAAAACGATTTCAAGTCAAATTCTACATCTCCCATCGGGTCATCCATCGAGAACAAATCACTGTCGTACACCGTCTGCACCCACCAACTATGTTAATTACCGGATAATTTAGGGGAGTGGCTTTTATAATTTTTATTAATAAAATAACTTACTAGTTTTATTGGAAGATTTGGATCCTCAACAGCAAGAGTCAGTTCTTCGTCCCACACCGGATTAATATCATTGTTCACAACCCGAGTCTTCAGTTTCTGCCACAACTTGTCAAGATTTATTATTAGATCAAAGCAACAACTTAAGGATACACACACACAAACACACACACACACATATATATATATATATATATATATATATATATATATATATATATATATATATATATACACACACACAAGTAAATTTCTTCCTTATATTATATATTAGTGAACTAGTTTATAACCTATAAGAACCACGGTTATAAAATTAATTAACCTTTCATAGTAAAAACTTAAAATTATTAATCAATTATTTTAAATAAATTATTAATTAAGAGATTTTTTTAGTTATATAAATTTATAATTGTTGATTTAAATAAATATATGACCTTATAATATATATTGATTTTATTTAAATTTCTATTCTAATGTTATTAATTTAATATAATTAGAGTGAAAAATTTAAATTTTGAATTTTGAAATGGAGAATAAATAGGTTGACAAATGACATGACATTAATTAGGATACCTAATAAGGTGATACATGACAAAAGAATAATAAACCTATTCTTTTATTAGAATAGGAAGATTATTTATACCTTTTTTTTATGTTATTTGAATTAATCCGCACTTTCGATTGGTAGAGGAGGGGTTTGGGTTTCTTTTTTGTTTGTTGTTGGTTGGGCGTGTATTAATATCTGATTTCGATTAGACGATATATAACAATAGAAAAATCTTTGAGTATGAGGTAAAACAAGCAATATCTATATATTATATACATACGTGATCGCCCATTTTGACGACAACATAAGGATCGCTGTCGGTGATATCACGAACTACAAGATCCAGACCTCTTTTAACCCTAACCTTCAACAGGCCCGACAGATTGTCCATTTATATCATATTATATCATCTCTTTTTTTTTCCAGTTCTTTTCTTTAAGTTTTCCTGTTAATTAATCAATGCTAATGCTATGCCACTTTATTGGTCCCGAGACACACAAGCCTAGAAACCCTCTCTTCCCACTAAATAAATTATAAATCGTTTCTTTTTCTTGTTTATGTTACTAAACTTGGAAACTCATGAGTCATGAAATGTTATTTTTATTCAAGCATTTTAATATTTCACTTTTCTTTTTGTCTTAATTCTGATCCATTAAAAATCGCAACATAATTTCTTTTCAACAAACTCTCAGACCAACCGTTAAACATCTTTGCAAAGGGATGCAATGATTTTTACTATTTCATAACTTGTTGTGTTGTGTACGGATCAACTTCCATTTCGAAAGCATACAAAAGCGAAATTCTAGATGCACGAATGATGATTACTTTTTACTTCAAATTCAACTATCTTTTTAACTCACATTCAACTATTACCGTGATGATTTGATAGTTTTTGATTTTTTATTGATTCTTTTATTAAATAACTTTGACTTCATATTATAAATGAATTTTACAATTCTACTCCTCAGACTTGTATACAAATTCCAATTAATACCTTTTACGCATTGGACATTTAATTTAGGTCCGTTTGTATTTAATTTATTAACTTCATTGTCTATTAAAATTTCTAATATAGTAAGTTATATAAATTTGAATATAATATTAACTATATTAATTAACTTATATATATATATATATATATATATATATATATATATATATATAGTTAGGTTCATGTAAGACTATCATATTTTGTGAGACATGAGTATGTAATCCTAGCCATTCATTTTGGAGAAAAAAAAAATTAAAATGCAAAATAAATGAAAATTTTCGATTTTTTTAAATATTATTTTCGTCATTTATTTTATAAAAAAAATAAAATAATAAAAACAAAATTGCCTTTTTTTCAAAATATATATGAAATATGCTAATAGAATATTATATTGTAAATATTCAAGTTGAAGTTTTAGAATGTTAGAATATTCTACTAGAGTATTAAACTATAAATATTCAAAATGGTATAATAGAATATTAGAATATTGTAAAAAACTTAACAATTCTAGTAGAGTATTAGAATATTTTAACACATCTATCAATTTTAGAGGTATATTAGAATATTCTAACATTCTAAAAATTCGATTTGATTATTTACAGTGTAATATTCTATTAGAATATTTCACTTATATTTTGAAAAAAAAAACAATAATTTTTTTTATATTGGATAAATTAAATAACGAAAATAATATTTAGAAAAAGAATTTTCGGATTTTTTCTTTTGTTTTGCATTTTATAATTTTATTTTTATTTTTTTTTATAAGCTTTTGCAAAATGGTTACTGACATTAGTAGTAACTTTATGCAATCACGACACAACAACGAATAAAAAGAATACTCAGGACCAAGAAGATGATTACCAATCAGCTTTATCATTATTTTGCTATCCTTGAATGTACTTTCCATAGTAATACTTATAATAGGTTTGAATTTCCCGAGCATCACAATAATTTCTTCTTCCTAATGTTGCTGCATCTACCTGAATAGAATACAAAGATGGTGTTCACAATCTTAGGATCTAAAATATAAAATGATGTAGTGGGACTGAAATAATGATGGCCATTTTTGGACTTGCTGAATTTCAGAAAGGAAACTAATGATCGCACCAACAATCCATAAATTAAACCAACAACAAGAAATGACGCAGAAATAAGACACATAAAAGCACAGTGAGGTGAAGCTCCAACACCATTTTGTTTAACATACATGACTGATAAAAGAAACACTTTTCTTGCCATCTAATTATAGCCCAGAATTAGGTTTTGACAAGATACTATATCATAAATGATATGAAAGTTTAACAGCTATCAACAAGGTCCATTTCCACAAACATCAAGTATCACAAGATTAAAATGTAGTGCGATAAAAATCAGAAAGCATATGCAATAATTAGAACAAGAGAAAATACAAGCAAAAGCAATGGTCCTACTGCCCATGGAAACTGCAAAAGTTATTATATACACAAAAAGCTTACACATATAACTCATTATTTTCTATTATGTAGGGTGTATATAGTTTCAAAAGATTCTTGGATAACTAAAAGTTCAGTTGGTTTAAAAGGGTTGAGTTCTGGTGTGCAACAGATCACCCACACTACCTGCCCCTATTGCTAACCTTGACCCATTTTTGATTTCCATCGACTTTTCTTTACTTATCACATGAATTTGGCAGTTAATGCTTACGGATAAGAACATAACATAATCCAAGAGTAATGAAACGACTGAAGTTTCAGTTAGTAGAAAAAGTCCAAGCTTTGGTATGCAATATATCTACCACCCACATATGTTTTCCTCATTTTTTAAACTTGCATTGTTAGTTAAATGGACATCATTCTTTAGTCTAGGCAACTTATGAATGGAAATGTATATTAAATTACCACTTGGGTTAGTGGCCAAAAGAACTTTCGGTTGGTTTGGATTGATGTTTTAGAACTCCCAACATCTGTGACTCCTTTATTCTCATTATCAAGTAAATTTTTTTAAACTTTTCCCTATCAAATCTGTTTCCTTGATTTTAAATAAGCATATTAAAAAGAAACACTTACTACAAATGTGCACTAAAATATTTCCAACATCATATTGTTGCTTTGTTCAAAATGGTAATCAAGAGGGAAAGACTTGAGGAAGATACATATAATACAATACTCTGATAAACAAGTAGATTTTTTAATAAAGAATTTCTGATGTGCACCGAGTTAATGACATATAGCATAAGTTTTTAATATTACAAGGCTAAACAAGTAGATTTTTTTAATAAAGAAAGAACTCAAGAAAAGTATAAGAGGAATCAAAAATAGATTGAGCATCCATGGTTACAGGAAACTACAAAAAGAAAAAAAAACAAATTAATGGGAATACTAGGTGCCAATTGAAAGAAGTCTATTCATAATGTTCTGCCAAATGAAAACTCATTATCTTTTTAATAACTATGGTATCTGATACATTTGGGGTTGATAGAGAAAATAACCCTTGTTGAGAAAGACCTAATTGCACTTTAAAAAACATAACTTATTGTAGAATTTTGTTAGAAATTTGCATAGTTTTTTGTGTAATTAAGAAGACTCGAATCCTTGATGTAAGTTGACTTCCTTATTATCCGAAATATAAGTTTTAAAAAGTTAACACCAAAATTCTTAAAAGAAGCAGAAAACACTCGACCAGAATAAGGGGAAGAAACAACTGAATGACGATCAGCAACTCTAATTAATTAAAATTGTAATACGCAAAATCAGAGAAAAAAGAAGAAAAAGTATTCACACAGAGAAAACACATTTGACTTCAAATTTTGTACAACATAGAAGCTATCTTCAATGAACATACAGTATGACATATTATGTTCGAAACCTTTTGATTGAGCATAATTTACTCCCAAATTTGGAGTTTCAAGCTAAAAATTTCTACGATTGAGACAAATACATCGTTCGATGAACCTAAATTTGCTGAGATTTATAAAATCCGATTCGAATTTCCTAGATCTTACTGGTATATTCCACGATAACAGAAAATATTACAGAGAAAAATAGCGACAACAAGATTAAACATTCGATATAACAAACAGATCAATTAATAACTAAATTCAAAAGGTTAGAATGGTGAAAATCCTGAAAATGATGAATCTTATCCTAGAGGGAACAAAAACTACTAGATGTGAAGCTAAAACGATGAAAAAAAATCAAAAAAGCATTACAAGGGAGAAAAATCGAACTCACGGTGCATACCAAAAGAACAAACATGAGCAGCAAAAGATCAACTGGTTATAAACAATTTTGTGTGAAGATTTATCAGGTGATTGAGATGACGTGAGGGGATTGTAATCGATCTTTGGATCCAAATCACACCGTCGATCTGTTGTTTCTTCGATTCATCGTCGACGAGCTGGACATTAGGGAGTGTGGATGGCCGGAGGTGCGATGAAGGGAGGAGAGAGGCGGGATGAGGAGATAGAGAGAGAGAGAGGGTGAAGGGTTTGTCATGATTCAATCAGAGAATGATATATTACGTTGTCTCTAAAATGCACCTTATTTATTTCTTTAAACGCCCCCGCCTCTTTTTTTTCCTAGTTATTTACAAAAAATATCACAAAGCATCATAACCTTCAATTATTTTGATCTAACGGTCTTCGATTGGTTCTTAAAAAACTTTGAGTTCTCAAATGATCATCTTCCCTCTCTCTTTCTCTCTCTATATATATATATATATATATATATATATATATATAATGTTTATTAATAACTTGTTTATTTGGTACTTATGATGTATTTGAACAAAATTGTTACTTTTATATTAAATTAATTTTGGATGTTAGACATTGTGGTTATGTTAATAAAATTGAAAGAAACAATATACAAGATACATGGTTATTTATTATTAAACATTGAAAGGGTTTAAAAGTGCAACACTTATACACACTTATTAATGACAACATACTTATCTTTTTGAAAACAAAATAATATATAACATCTTTTAAACCATTTCCATTTGTATTGTCATGTTGGTTTAGTAAAAATAAAATTAAAAGTATACTCACACAATTGAAGTCCCGCTGCCTATTGCATTTTGGTTTACTAAAACTACAAGTACAAATTAAACGCAATTGATATATTATTCCAAGTGAAATATTTCGACAAGTGTCATTAAATTTAATTTAAATTTGATTGGGATGTTAAATTTGTATACTTGTCATCATCTTAAATAGGTAGGAAAAAAAAGTAGAAACAAAAGATAAAAGGATATTTAATTTCTCAATATGAAATTCCATCTTCAATAGCTCGTGTAGTTTTTATATACCTCTCATATATTTTGTTTATACTTTCAAGCTTAGCAATCAAAACATTCATCATGTGGTTCATTTTTTTTCTTTTTCATTTGCATCTTCCACATATGAACAAGTTTTTTTTGGAGGACATGTCTCCATTTCATGTAAGAGTGCATCTCTTCTT